TAAATGTACCATTAATAGCTGTATCATATCCAACCAGAAAGAACGGATGATCTAGGTCAGTCTTTGAGCATGTTGGATCATCATAAACACCTGAGGAATAGAATTGAAAAGATGGCTGACTAGCGACAATCGCAACTGCTATTGGACCTACAGTAGCAAGAGCAATTTGCAAGGCAGTTTCGTTTCCGACTGGAAGATCGACAAAACCCTGTGACAAATGAAAACATGACTAGAATAAAATAAAATCGATGTGGAATACTGACCGTGATGGTGGCACCCACATTAGTCCGATTGAAACGGCACTTGCCTTCTTGGGCTTCATACGGATAGCTTGCTTCCGTGTCTATACCCTTGTTGTCTTTGATGTATTGATACGAAGCATCCATCTCTCCTCCATTGCAACCCATATTACCATACTTGTCAGAGCAATCCATTATGTTTTGTGCTGACAGGCGCACTAATTTACCCGTCTTGAGAAAATGCTGTCCTTCCAGAGCGCCCGTCACTGCAAATGCGTAGCATGAACCACATTGACCTTGATTTTCAATTACCGTCGTTACAGCTCCTTTTTTACGCCAGTCTATCAAAAGTAGGAAGTATGTGAAAATCGACACCTTTTCACGTATTCAAAGTTTCTGTACGAATAGGTAGTTGTTGACAAGAGAAAAGAAGCACATCAGGTTCTCTCACGAGAGAACATCTCCAAATGTCTAATCGCGTTTGATGCGATATTTTGCTGACATGTAGACTTTGATGAGATTAGAAAAAGCCTAAAAGGATTATGGATGGTGAACCTCTGTTCTCGAGTCAGGACCGTTTTATTGATGTTTTAATCTGATGTATAGTACTTGCGATGTCAGATTAGCATTGGTATTTTAAACATGCTAATACTTAAGCAATGTGACACCTCTACTAATCATCCTTTGAATATCTCAAGAGTGTCAATCAAAGAGCATGATCGTTTCTCAAAATACTAGAGTGTCAGAACAACGCTTATATTTACAACCTACAGAAATCGATATTTCCTGAAAATTCTGTTACAATTGAAGGTTACTTCTTTCACCTAAGAATGATGAGACCTATTTATGAGCAAAATTTTACCTTGAAATTCACTCACTCTAATTAGGAACAAATCTACTCAAAGATGTGCCATGAAACAATTCTTTTCTAATGTGAAAATATTGCAGTCTCTCGTTTACATTTGTGACTTGCATTCAATCATAACTAATCAACTATAGAAAATGTCTGTACCAAAAGCACATACCAATAGCAGCTGGTATGGTGACATGCGATGGTGGGAGATATGTATGTGATGATTTCGTAGCCAAGTTCTTTTTGAATCCACTGACCATCGTTTTGAGAAACTCTGCATGTGTCTAGATAAAAAAAAATAACGACACAATTAATCTCAGCAGGATTGATTATGTCGTTTTTTCGCTCTGAAATTTTTTACGATTCGATAATATAGGATTTAGCTCAACTAGAGTATTTTATGCATACAAGGATCGAGCATAAAACTTAAGGTTCATGTACCATATCGGCAAACTCATTGACTTTGAGTGTGTATGTATGCAAACCGAAGTCAGCTTCAAGATTGTGTCGATTGATTTTTGCTACATTGTCTTCGAAGACAGTGCGACTAAATAAGGGATCAAGTTTTACCATAAAACCGTTGCCTATTACTTCTCTTTCTCTTACCGGTAGTGCTCCTCATTGGTATTGACATATTGTTTGTTATAAACATTCTTGAACAAATTCCAAATGGATGGTTTTTTATGCAGACCCACTGCTTGGGCAACGCTTAACACAGCGATGAGAAAGTAAAACAGATGCATGCTGATACAACTATTCTTCATGAAGATGTAATGGCAAAAGAAGTTATCATACACACACCTTTTCACATAGGCGCGAGATAACAACTGCGATATCATTGTTAATTATCATCGTCATGATGACTTTTTATGTTGGTCTATTTCTTGTGATAGAACACACGCTTGAAGAGCTTATATCAGAACAGTTTGTGAAAGAAAAGAACATTGCTTTGTTTACGAAACAGATATCTATCAAAATGTAGTGGTGATTAGCAGAATGCTTGTGTTGTTGTGAAATGAGTAGTGACTATCTCATTGTACACACATTCAAAATCTAATCCATATCATCATCCCATTCATGGTGAAGAAGAACGATTTACATGGGGATGGATGAGAGTGAAGGTGAATGTCTTCTCTTCATCCTCATCTTCATCTTTAAGATGCTGAGGTATTGCTGATTTTAAAGAATTTTTCCAACGATGGACTTGGATATTGAAATGAATAATATTAAATTTGAAGTGTGATTGTACACGGTGATGAAGAAATTTATAAAGACCGTGAACAAGATATTGGAGACGATTAAAATGTTGATTTATTGAACTGCTTGTGTCAATAAGAAAAATCACTTGAGAACCGGTTATCGAACTGAAAATATGCGATTGGTCACGAATGTCAGTCATGATTTGGTCGGCTTGAGGCAGTAGATTGAGTGGAAAGAGGCTTCTCAATTGAAAATGATTTAACAGATCTAAAAGATTCTCATCGATTACTTGAGGAGCTTCGGGATGTTAATCTAATACTGGAATCATTTTTAGTAATTGAACTGCTTAATCACATTGTAAACTGAATAGATCATTGTCAAGTAGATGAAGAACGACTACGAGTTCGTTTCCAGAAAAATAGGGTGCCAATGCGGTAACTTGATCATCACTGAATGCTTGATGAGAACTTTTTATTTTGTAAACAAGATGTTGAATACCATCAGCTGATTGGTTTGATTTAGCAAATTTCGAGATAAGTCGATGCATCTAATGTCGGAACGAACACCATACATAGGCAGCTCATGATATTTTTCCCGAGCATTCGAGTTAACAAGATGAAGGCTCATGTTTGATTTCTGTAGTAAAGATGAAAGGTATAAAAAACCGGAAGATATTTGGTTATGATGTAATAAATATATCTGTCTAGTGGATCGGATCATATCCCAAAAGTCTGCGAGATTTTGCGTAGCAAGAAAATGTCTGATCTTGGCTCATTGTCTATCCAGTCAAATAGCATTTCATAACTGAACAACATTCATTCTTCCTCGTAGTATGCAAGATCAATGTTGAGAGCATGTGAACTATAGCCATCTAACTCATTGTTCATATGATTCCTGTTATCTTTTTCTGATTTTGTATTCTCCGGTGTGGGTGTGGGTGTGGTGTGTGGGTGGATGTGGGTGTGGGTGGGTGGGGTGCGAGTGTGGGTGTGGTGTGGGTGTGAGTGTGGGTGTGAGTGTGAATGTGGATGGGTGTGGGTATGGGTGTCGGTGTAAGAAAAGATCCACATCCACATCCCACACCCCACAGCCACACCCAACACGAAAAATCGTGAGGATGTCCGAATACTCTTTTGACTGGCTGTATATATACAAGCAGCTTGATCATTCTCAAATATGGTCAAAGATAATGTTTCTGTTTGCCGATACTTGAGTTAGTCAATGAAATAGCCGAATAGCTGAATTTCACTGTAGTGAACACCTGGTGCTGGTATACGCTGATCCTGAATGATGAAACAGTAGGCTCGATATGGGAGAATATTGGAGACAGTTTGAAAATCTTCCCACATACTTCGACCCGGATCGTATTCTGGACTTATGCCTGTCAGTCCATTGTAGATGAGGCTCCAACAAGAACCATTTATCATCTCGAGTGGGTCTTCAGTGCTGCTATCTCCGATACTAACCATGGTGGGGTCAAAATCCAATCGATCAGTAGCTGTGCCAAACTGAAACTATTCCAATACATATAAAGTACTATTCTGAGGTGTTACTATAAGACCTGTGCCCACAGCCATCCATACTTGACTAGTTGGTGTCGGAATAATACCGAGGGTGTGGGTGTAAGTAGAAGGAATTGATACCCACACTCACACTCTTGTTTTGTTATATATGGTCCTACTACTAAAGATACAGTTACAGGAAGAATTATATGTGTCACTAACCAGCCCAAACATTGAGGTGCATGAATTGGTAGATGAACTTCTACATAGCAGGCAATGCCATGCAAGAAAGAGGATGAATGCTATCAATATTGCAATGGTTGATGAAGATATATACAAATGAATCGGTTGAAAGATAGATTCTCGAAGAATACTGCTGACAAGATGATTATATCGTCGACTCCTAAATTCATGTAATGATTTGGATATACTTAAATGGGAAATTAGTAAACGATTGAAGTGTGTATCGATCTCGAGTGATGAGCCGAACGAGAGCTATTTGAATACCAGATACATATGAAAATGCTAGTACTGATGTGTAGTGCATTATTATTCTTTGATAACTATCCCTCAGTTTACATGCCAGAATCCATCGATACATCCAACGATTTAATGTCATTTCCACGCTAGCCAAGACAGCATCAAAATAAGTGACGTCAAGTTGAGGAAGATCGTGAGTTCCAAAATGAGTCAATAATATATATGACAAAACAGTCAAAAAACCGCGAAAAAGACTATGACCAACAGGATGAATGAGATAGAAACTTGTAATAAGATGCGTTATCCATTCGATGACCATGATTAATGGAACTGTTGTTTCCACATATTCTTTTCTTCTTTTTGATGGAACAGAGCAAAGACGAGAAAAATAGTGTCATAATGATGGAGGTGAGAAAGTATCAGAGAAGATCTTATTGTTTTTTTTAATTTTTTCTCTCAACTTTATCTACAAAATAAAAATATACATTCGAGTGATATGAGACAGAAATATCAAATGTTTTCGGACATTGAATTTGAATTAGATCATTATCATATGTGGAGCATCGATTGAAATATGCTAAACGAACTAAGAGAAAACCCACATCCACACCCTAACAATAAAAAGAATTTTATGCTAGTAAACTATCAAGTTCAGTGATATTTACTATCTAATTTAGTTTTAAAATATTAATGCAACTATTGATAAAATAAAAAAGTATAAAATATTTAAGAAGTAAAAGTTTGTTCTCCACCATCGACACGAATAGTTTGTCCATGAACAAAATCCATATTTAATAATTGAATAACAGCATTAGCAACATGTTCTGGTCTACCAGTAACACCTTGATCTGTTCCAATATTTCGTTTATATCGTTCAGTTAAAGTTGGTCCTGGTGCAATACAATTAACTCGAATACCTGATGATTGTACTTGAGTTGCTAAACATCTCATATATTGATGAACTGCTGCTTTTGATACTGTATAAAGAGCACCTTTTTCTCTTCCTAGTAAAGCCGATGTAGAACCAATAATAATAACATGACCTCGATGATTTTGAATCATTTGAGGAACAATTGATTGACAAACAAGATGTGTTGTCCAAAAATTTCGATTTAAAATTGATTTTGTATCTGAATCACTTATGGTTAAACATGTATCATGAGATGGTTTACCTCCGGATGCTGTATTAACTCCACTTGAACCAATATTTCCTCCAGCACAACAAATTAAAATATCAATAGGATATTTAATATGACTAAGAACAGATTGTACACCTTCTTTTGTTGATAAATCACCCCAGACAGGTGTTATTTCAGTATTATTAGTTATTGTTGATATATGTTGAGCAAGAGTTGTCATTGTAGTACCTTCATCTAAATAACTTGGACTATCATGAGTTGTACCATGAATAATAACTTTTGTGCCTTCACGAGCAAGAGCAATAGCAATAGCACATCCAATACCACGAGAAGAACCTGTTACAAATGCAACACTATCTTTTATTTTCAAATGTTTTTCATTATTATTAACTATGGGTAATAATGATTGAGATTCATTAAGTAATTTTGATGCAGGAAGAGTTGGATCAAGTATAACTTTTATTCCAGAACTAATTAAACCTAATGCATTAGAATATTCTTCTAAAGGTAATCTATGTGTAATCATTGAAGATAAATCACATTTTTTTAAAATTTCAAAAGCACGTGGCCAAGCATTTCGACCTAAATTACAGCCAATTATTGTCAATTCTTTTCCAGCTGATATAACATTCCATGAAGCATCAATATATGTTTCTTTACATATTCCAATATGAATAAATGTTCCACATTTACGAAGAAATTCAAAACCAGCTTTAATAGACTCAGGTGTGCCTGCGCATTCAAAAAATACATCAGCACCATTCTGTTCACCAGACATTTTTCGAACAATATCTGCTATCGAAGAAACTGTTTTATCGGATAAATTAAATGTTGTACACTTTTTAGAAATAGTTTTAGCTAAATCAAGTTTAACTTGAAAATAATCAAGAACAATCATTGATATATCTGGATAAAATGTTTCAATAGCAGCAACTAAACCCAAACCTATTGTACCACAACCAGAGATGACAACCTAAACAGTATATATATATCATTATTATCAACTTGAAAAATATCATTTTTAAATATGCCATTGTTCAGAAAAACAGATCATTAGTCATTTTGAATAACATATTCAAACTAATCAGGAAACCTACTCAAGTATTTGCTTTCGATTTAATGTTTTTTTTTATTTTTAGATACTACATGCCTTCCTGATAAAAATCTTAAACAATTTCGATTCCTTTTGATATTTGACTAAAGCTATTAAATTTTTAATATACGTATTTTCTAACGATAAAAGCCGTTTCTAACGGTTGGAATGATCGACGTAGGCAAACCTATGTAACTAGACATGCACTAAACCCTTTTACATGAATGGTGCATACAGCATGTATTTGATAAAAGCTTTCTATGTCAAAGAGACTTTGTTCAAAGCTTCTGCATTTTTTTTCTGCATGTTAGTTTAATTGAGTTCTCTATGTGTGCAAAGTTTTAGATTAACAGTCGAAAATACGAGTTTTCCAAAAACCTGACTTGTAGGTCATAGACATATTAAAAATTCGATGACTTAGTCAAAGTTCAATAGGAGACCAAATTTTTTTAGGATTTTTATTAGAACACTATGTAGTATCTATAAGAAAGAAATGATTGAGATCAGAGGAGGATAGCTGAGGAGATTCTCTCATAAATGCAAAAAAATTATATCTAATGTGTAACGTTCAACATTTATTCATTAGTAGACAATGAAATTTAGATACTAACAAATTAAGTTCTAATTTTACAAAGAAAAAAAAGGAAATTAATTTACCAGATCAGTTGTTTTTAAATGTGCTCGATCCATCGCACGGACAGAAAAAGCAACTGGTTCAGCTAAAACTGCATAAGTTGGCGATAAATCCTCTGGAACTTTATGTACCAAAGATCCCTTTTGATAGACCATATATTCAGCCATGCTGCCATCAACATCTTCACCATAAATAATTAATTTATCACATTTATGATCCATACCATTCTTGCAAACCAACATTGATCACGACAAGCTATAAATTGTTCAGCAACAACGATATCACCGACAGAAATTGATTGATCACGAGCTATCGAAGGATCGATATCAACGACTGAACCAACAAATTCATGACCGGGAATAACACCACGTCGGGCACATTCATCGACACCCCAATAAAATTCATTACCTTCATACATCATCAAATCAGAGCTACCTGAAACAATCAAAATAAAATATTTTCTAACGAAATACGAAATCTTACAAATTCCGCTTGCCAATACTTTGACTAGTACTTGCCCATCTTGTATTTTAGGCATGGGTTTGTCATAAATTAGTTTATAATCTTTAGGTCCATTTGCTATTACAGCTTTCATATTACTCATTGTACTTTATATTAAATTTTTTAAATTATCTATAAATTGACATATAATAAGATACGACCCAATGCAAGAAAAAAGATGTTTTCAAAAAAATAATAGATTTTATGCAATGTTGCGACAAATTGTAGGAGTACCATTGTCGTCAATCTCTATAATGACGTTTATTTGACTACTTGATCGTCCCAATCGCATCTATATCACTAAAAAACACATCCCTATATATTAGCAGCACAAGAGAAACGAAAGAGAAATACATAAAATCAAGGTCAACACTAAGAAAGAAACCATAGTGAGAGGGTGTTAGTTTGAATCTTTATCTCACTGATATCCACATGCAAATTGTATTCGCAGTACGTTGACGTAATTGAGATCGAATTTGATTATTATTATTAGTAGTTCTAAATGAAGATTTCGACTATTTTTAGAGTATCCAGAAATTATTTTAGTCTAAAGTGAATCATTGAACTGTTTTATATTTGATGCCGGTAAGATGGTCGAAGAAGGTGTTGATTGTTCATTGTGTACTTGATAACTACTGTTCTTAATATTATCAGTATTAATCTGGAAGAGTTGAAGTAACTCTTTGACATATTCAAGGAATTCTGTAGTAGTAGTGGGTTTTTTCTTTTGAACTTCGAATTGTATACTAGGTTTGGCTTTATTGAGGGAATTCTTCAATTTAGTTGCTTCACTCATAGTGGAGTCTACTTCATTGAAAAAACTTCGAATTGATCGAATTTTACCTGGCGTATATGATTCTAATTTTTTGAATGATAACTCTTCATGAAAAGAAGAAGTGAAAGCTCGTTAAAGTTCATGTATAAAAATTTCCCATGAAGTAAACATATGTTAATTAATTTTGCATCATTGAAGAGTGTCTTCTCGTAATAAATACGAAATTAAATCTAATCGACTAGCATCAGGAATATGTGTAACATCCAGAAAATGTTCAATTTCTTCAATCTAATTTTTTACATCATCTCCATTATCTTTAAATATTTTCGAATTTTCCATTAAATCTTTGACGACCGCCTTTCGACGATGCAAGAGTCAGTGATAATATTAGTCGATCTACTATTTAGTGACTCACCAATAGAATTAATGGCTCTAAAATTAAGTACAGCAGTAGATTGAAATGCAGATGATTGATATGTAAAATTAGTCGTATTAGAAGCATGTGTTAGTTTTTCTTTTGAATTTGTTGTAGGTTCGTTTTGACTTGATTTGGTATTCGATGCAAAAAAATCAGTGGTATCGACATGAAACAGCAGGAATTCGTAAAAATCATCAAAAGATTGAATTTTCTTTCTACTCCTTATATATTTTCGTTTAATGTCACCATCTACTAGAAGAGAAATTACTTTAAAATGTAAATCCCTCGAGATTTTTAACTCATTGAATTTTCTCACTGTTTTATCAAGTCATTCGTTGACGTCTCGTTTTACAGAAAATGTAACAAAATTTTCTATTATGAAACTATCAAATTATTATTCATCTTCAATCTTTTCTACTTGAGATTGATCATCATTGTGGTGATTAATATCGTCAGTTTTTGTATTAGATTTGTTTGAATTATTTGAATCTGATGCTGTATCCTTGATAGCATCACTCCTGATATGTAACCTAATTTGTTTTCGTTATTATTTGTAATATATTCTAGTTCAGATGTTGGTACGATCACCTTACAACGATTAGTATTTGTTGGATTAAGCAACATGGGTTCTTGATATTTTTGTAGATGTTAAAGATAATGTTGTTGTTGTACTAGTATGTAGATTTAGTGAATTAAGTAATGAAGATTGAGAACTGAATGATTTTTTATTGTTGATAGCCATAAAAAATTTTTTATAACTCAACTATATTATATTTATCACGATGAAAAAGTGAAGATTTTAATCAAACACCAAAAAAAGGAAAAAATTAACACAAAAAAAGACAACTAATTGCCCAACGTCTCTACCATTTGTGAGCCTCTTTTTCTAATATTATTGTATCTTCATCTTTCGTCAATTACGTAGGCTAAATCAAAATCGAATTGGAGTTAATATCTGCACTATGAAAACGAGGGTTCACTATAAACTGCCTACCCGAATTTCGTCGACATAACATTTGAATAATGTTCACTAAATATAATGGATAAATATCTTTTATTTGTAAATAATCATCAAGGAGAAAAATCAATAACAACAATAAACAAGTCGGCCATGAGCAATAGATAAAAAAAAAAGAACCATCAAAGAGAATCAGAATAAATAATAACTCACAGTTATAGATTTAGCGGCACTAAGCGCCATCTATTGACGCTAACAAATCATCACATTTGGTTTCTTACTTTTGCATAATTTCCATTCTATGATTTTGATGTCTCAGGAAAAATACAAATTATGAGATGAAAATGATTAATTGGAATTTTATGCAAATATCTGTTCGAACATATATCGATTTATCTCAAGACTCGTATCTGTGAGGCAGGCATAAACGATATTGTTCCCTGTGGGTGTGCTAGATGATATCCATTGATACCCACATTCACACTCATATTCTCATTTCGTTGAAATTCATTTTAATAAAACCTGCCTATGATCCCGGCTCTTTCTCGTCTCCCTGTCTCTAGCTGGTTGTTCTCTTCTTTATTTCAGGTTACACATTCCCTCTCCTTTAATCTTACACGGTAAAGAACGAAAAAAAAAGAAGTATCGCATTTGATGCTTTTGCGTTCTTTTGCAAAGAACAATGTGAAGAATTATCTCAGTTAGTAACAGAACATTGAAGAGACAACGTCCACGGCTGTAGATAAACTTAATGAATGGAAAGAATTGAAGGCAGACTTATCTGAAACACGAGTTTGTGGGAAAGTGCAGCTCGACGCGTTGATGGACGTGATTTCTCAACAACAGTTGAAACTTTGACGAGCAATTGGAAATTGGAGAAAGATGGTAGAGGACTAATATTTGTTGACAGGAATGGAGATTTATTTGCGAAAATTTTGGATTTCATGAGAAGTCCAAGTGAATTTGTTTTGTCAGAAGAACGATTACGCAAACGTTTAATAACTGAAGCTAAATTCTACAAACTGAAGTCTTTTTTGGAAGTTTTAACAGAACCGAAAAGGAAATAAATGTGGAAACCTCAGATTTAAATCCGAGAGTTATGTGTACTTCAAAAAGTGAATGAGACTGATTAGTCATCCTAGAATGTGTGGGCATATAAATTATCCTGGCAAACCTTTTCTATAAACACTTGATTTCTATTGGCTACTGCTCAACCACCAGGAGTTACAGATGAATACAGCTCAGATTTGATTTCTTCGCCTTGATTTACCCTAGGAAAGTCGTTTTTTCCATAACTTGATTTCTATTGGTTACTGTTCAACCAATAGGAGTTCGAGGCAAACGGAGCTCAGATTGGAATTCTCCAACCCAAAAAACCTCGAACGGTCATCTCTATGATCGAAAGACAGAGCTCTAATTGGAGCTCAACTAGACTGTGGGCACAAACAGAACCAATTCCCGTTTAATTACCCTTGCAATAGGTGAGTTAGTCTTCTTGTTTCTTTATGTTTTATATACCATTTTGTAGGTCGTGAAATTCTCTATTGAATGGTATATAATAGTTGGGGTTTTATTTGACTATAATAGGAAATGTTTTTTACGAAAGCGGGGATAGGTCGATTTTCGCATAGTGAAAAATGGCTATTTTTCCAATAACTCAGCAACGGCTCGGCCAATCCTTCTCATCTTCGAACTCGACCGAGATAATATTGAGACTAAACTGTGTAGAAAATTTCATCGCAATCGGACTCTCCTTTCAAAAGTTATCGTGTAAACGGCCGGCCGAACGGACGGACATACTGACCGATTCTAGAGTGTACTCACTTTTTGAGTACACAAAAAGAAGAAGAAGAAAGAAAAAGACAAGAACAAATCTTCGTTGGTGATAATTAATATGATTCATGGGCATAGAAAATGAAATATATATAGTGAGATTATTTTACAGCAGCAATGAAAAAAGAAGTTTATTTTATTTGATTTTTCGTCCTACGACGTTTCAATAATTTTACTATCATTAACTAGTACATGTTACAATGGGGAAAAAACAAAACAGAACAAAAATGAGACAACCCTTATACAAATGAAATGAGAAAAGTTCATACATAAAAATGAAATGATATAATATAATATATAAACAAAAAACAAGATCATAATGTGTATATAATTGTTAACATTATATCCTAATCATTTTAAATAATAGCATTTGATAGTAATACTATAGTTGTTATTGATTAACATAGAATTAAGAGTATTGTAGGTTAATACATATTGATATTTGAAATCGCAGGAAATGATGATAAAACTATAGATGCATAAATAAGAATTAAACTAATGAATCATATAAAATAATCATTTAATTCATTTAATAAAATATTATAAATATCATAAATTAACATAGAATTATGATAAATCTATAGATATGAACAAAAGAATCAGAATAATGGTGAGTGTGAGTAAAGTGGGAAATGATACCCACACCCACACCCACCCACCCACCCCCACACCCACCCACCCACC